CCGTGTCCCCCCCCTTGCCCCCTTGTGTCCACCCCCAGCCTACCCACACTTTCCCCATTGTGTCCACACTCAGCCCACAGTGAACCCACACTTGCCCCACTGTGTCTCCACACCCAGCCCACAGTGTACCCACACTTGCCCACTGTGTCTCCACACCCAGCCCACAGTGTACCCACACTTCCCCCATTATGGTAACAAGATTTTGTAATGGTAACAACATTCTTGCCTTGCACCCATGTCTTGGGGATAGCACAATACATTTAAGTCGTGCGTAATGTAGACTTCTTAAATGTTTAAATTAATTGTTATTATTAAACTATATTCTTTGAAAACAGCTAAGAATTATTAGCTGTGGCTATACAACATTTTTTGATTACAAGTTATAAAACAGGCTGTGTATATATTTGAAATACATGAAAGATTGAAAGAAAAGCGCTTAAGCTCGACAAATTTATCAGCCATAGATGAATTCTCACGTGTTTCTCACCGTGTGAGAAATATTCAAGGCCACAGCCTTTGTTATTGATCGTATGTAAGGCCTGAGCAATAACAAATAGTAAACCTATAAATGTTCAAAACAGTACTTAGTACTTTAGTACTTGAACTAAAAGATTGATTTACAATAATACTTCCTATGTGGCGTTTAAATAAATAAACAAATAAATACATAAATAAATATAAGGAAACAAGAAAAACTGATGCCCCTGTGGTTATACAAACTAAAATATGCTCTGGATGCAATATGCAAAAAACGATGATTAAAATTTCACTCGAATGAAAGCATCAAGCGTTTCGAGTTTTATTTATTTATTTGTTTTTACCATTTCTGCACAGTTTAATTATGACGCTGCTCCCTTTAAGTGCTGTTAGAAGTGAATGAATTGATTCAGCATTTTGACACTTCCGTAAGGATGCATTAAACTCGACAAAGCGGTATGTAAAGGATGTATTGATGTATTGATCTCGTGAATTAGCTAATTTTACTATACCAATATTTTTTTTAATTGGCTGTTAAAGTTAATATGGGAATATTACATGACACGCTGATCCTTTAACAATGCATTGGCGCAAAACACACACCTTTTGGACAAATCTCGCAACATGATTTATCAACTGCCACATATACTGCCTAAACAAAATGCTGATTTTGTGCACTTTATTTACTGTACCAATATTTTAAATTGGCCTTTGTACTTAGCTTTATTGCATGGCAAAAAAAAAAAGCATTACCTTGCCAAAGCACTGACAGAGCCCATTGATCTAATGGCATTGTTGAGCAATCCAAATGCAAACTTTGCATGCAACAATCAGGCAGCTATTGACAGCACTCTGATCCAATGGCATACAGGCATCGTCAGATTGACAGTACTCTAATTTTATTTCAGGGTGACCGTGCCACTCTTTATCACAACCCTGCTAAAATATAGTGCCAGTACAAGCGATCATTGGTGCCCCTTCAACTGGTGGCGCCCTAGGCAACCGCCTAGCTCGCCTATACCTGCACTGTAAAAAATTATTGTGATTTTAACAGTAAAAGACTGTAAAAATGCTACAGTAAAAACCTGTTAACTGGTTAACAGTAAGTTTCCATACTATATTCGGTGAAGAAATGCAATTACGTTTAATGTAATTTTACAGTAAAATACTGTTTAATTTAAAAAGTAAAAAGTCATTGTATAATTTACAGTGACAAACCATAAATTCACACTCCCAGAATTCCCTGCATGACACTTCATATTTTATGTTTTTTTTGTTGTTGTTGAAATAACATGTTTCTTCTTAGTTTTTTTCTTATCAGTTGTGTACATTAGGGTTTAATCTTACATCTAATGTTGTTAAATTAACGTTTAATACATTATTTCAGTAGCATGTGTGTCACCATGATGGGGTTTAGTGTTTGTGTGAATGACACTGTGCACCTTCTATATATAAGTATTGACCTTCTCAGCTCCTAGAAAAGCTGTTTATGATGAGCGTTGGTTCATTGTGTGACTTTCTCATCACCACCAGATTTTGGTGGTTATCAATGCATTACAATGGTTCAAAACAGATATTAGTACTTCAATATGTTGGTTTATTAACATTACATCAGTTAATGAAATACGGTATTTGATTGTGAATTTAAGTTAAATCTGTAAAACCTAAAATGTTGCTACCATATTTTTTTACGGTGAACTTCTGGCAACCACAGCTGCAGGTATTTTACCGTAAATGTCACCGATTTTTTTTTACAGTGTGGAAACGGTACTGCTTGGCTTTTTTATTTATGTATTGCTCCAACAAGAATCAATATTTAATGAAAACTATGCAATGTTATTTTAGGATTCTTCCATTTCTGCATCTAAACATCTACAAACCTAAAACCTGCTCTATTATACTGTTGTTTGCAAATTGTTTATCGCGCAATTTAAATTATATCTAATTTTATCATAATAAACTTGTTTGTTAGAATAGACAATTACAGCAGTCTATAACAAAAATTACCAGGATTTGTACAAGCTTGAAGTAGCCTACTTGTCTTTTACTTTTTGAAATGAAAATCCTAAAAAAAAAAAAAAACTTGGAAACAGCCATATTTATGAAAAGGGGCTTGACCTATTGAAAAACAATATGAATGAAATTAGTGTTTCATTTTTAGTAATGACAATTTTAGTTGTCATAAAAACCTTCATTACAATGCAAAATAACAATTGTCTATACAAAATATTATGAAAACAATAACTCTTGTACTTTTTTCATTATTATATTGTTTATATATTATAATTATAAAAAAAAAAAAACTTTTAACAAGTCACATAAAAATCAATCACTGCTTAAAAATGTAAGTCAAAAATTAAACTCTTAAAGGATGAAATAATACACAGAATCAGTAAATTTGAGTTTAATGTGGGTATAAACAATATGAATGAAATTAGTGTTTCATTTTTAGTAATGACAATTTTAGTTGTCATAAAAACCTTCATTACAATGCAAAATAACAATTGTCTATACAAAATATTATGAAAACAATAACTCTTGTACTTTTTTCATTATTATATTGTTTATATATTATAATTATAAAAAAATAAAACTTTGAACAAGTCATAATAATCAAGCATCACTGCTTAAAAATGTAAGTCGAAAATTAAACTCTTAATGCATGAAATAATATACAGAATCAGTAAATTCGAGTTTAATGTGGGTATATTATCAGTAAACTAATCATTAAACATTTGTAATCATTCAGGAAATATTGGCCATTTCATCTTAATGTTGTTCCGAGATGAAGGCCATATTGCTAATGTTGTCCACACGAGGGAGCCACAGGATAGCAAATCCTTCAAGATCTGTTCAAAGACTTAGAAAATGTTTCATTTAAAAAGCTTGAAGTACTTGACTTTTACTTTTTGAAATGTAAATCCTAAAAAAACCATTGGAAGCAGCCATATTTATGAAAAGGTGCTTTGACCTATTGAAAAACAATATGAATAAAATTGTTTAATTTTTAGTAATGAC